CTACAGATTGGGAAAAGTATTTGGTAAGGAAGGTTGGGCAATCTACTTCTGTAATGATACTGCCTTGGCAACCCAAGGAGGGGTTGCTATGAGTTGGGTCCGACTCGATGGCACATAACAACAACAACACAACATATCTGACAAGGGACTTATCTCTAAAATCTGTAGAGAACTCCAACACTTCAACAACAAACAAACAACCCAATTGAAAAATGGGCACAAGACATGAATAGACACCAAAGAGGATATTCAGGAGGCAAAAAAACACATGAAGAAATGCTCACGATCATTAGCCATTAGAGAGATGCAAATCAAAGCAACAATGAGATACCATCTTGCCCCAGCACTAGTAGCAGAGTTGACCAAGACAGAAAATAACAAATGCTGGCAAGGATGTGGAGAGGTTGGGACTCTCCTACACTCCTGGTGGGACTGTAAAATGATACAACCACTGTGGAAAGCAGTATGGCGACTCCTTAAAAAGTTGGAATTAGAAATACCATTTGACCCAGAAATCCCATTGCTAGATATATATCTAGGAGCCCTGGTAGCATAGTGCCTAGGCACTTGACTGCTAACCAGAAGGCAGGTAATTCAAACCCACCAGCTACTCCTTGGAAGGAAGGTTGGGCAATCCTACTTCCACAGTGATACTGCCTCGGAAACCCAAGGAGGGGTCGCTATGAGTCAGGGCAGACTAGACAGTACATAACAAAAACAACAGGTATATATCCTAAAGAAGTAAGAGCCAGGACAAGAACAGATATATGCACACCCATGTTCATCACAGCACTTTTTATAATAGCAAAATGATGGAAACAACCTAGGTGCCCAACAACAGAAGAATGGATAACCAAACTATGGTACATACACACAATGGAAAACTATGCAACCCTAAAGAATAATGTAGAATTTGCAAAACACCACATAACATGGATGAACTTGGAGGATATATGCTAAGTGAAATAAGTCAATCACAGAAGGACAAATATTGTATTAGTCCTTTATTGTAAAAAGTCAAGGAAAGGTTTATATATGGAAAGAAATTTTCTTAGTTGGTTACCAGGGGTGAGAGGAAAGGGGAGGGAACACTGCTAGATAGGTAAAGACAAGTATTGATTTGGGTGAAGGGAAGGGCAGTGCCCCAAATGTGAGTGATCAACACAGTGGCACTGAGGAACAGGAAGACAGAGGGGTACCTAGGAGATATAGACAACAAAGATGAACCTTTTTGCACATACAGTACTGCGTTGTCAGTGATGGAAAACATTGATCTATGGATGAACAGGCTGAACAATCATGTCTAGGCAGAGGGGAGTGTCCCCATGACCACGTATAGTGTTGGCAGATGATGCTTCTACAAGTGTATTTGTGTGCTCTGTAAGAATGTCCAGTTAAGAATAGAAGGGCTGTGTATGCACAGGGAGACAGCTCAGGGGGCAGGAGTGCATGGAGGGATGGACACAGCGAAGAGGTAACTATGAGGAGGAAATGGGAGGGGAGCTGTTGCATTGTGGGAAATGGCAGTCAATGTCATGAGCCACAGTATATGTGAGCTGCTGTCTGGAAAGTGAATTTTCTCTGTAAACTTTCATCCAAATCACAATTAAAAAAAAGAAAAAGAAAAAAAGAATGCCCAGTTACATAGTAGAGCTGACAAAGGACAAGGTTGGGTTGACTTCTTGGCCACAGCCAGCTACCCAGAAGGAGTGAGTAGTTGGACCTGTGGGCTTGGGACCATGGTCCCAGGGGACATCAAGCTCAATTGGCATAACACTACACAAAAACATTGTTCCACATCCTACTTTGGTGAATAGCGACTGGGATCTTAAAAGCTTGCAAGCGGCCATCTAGATGCAACGATGGGTCTCATCTTGTCCAGAGCAAAGGAGAATGAAGAAAACCAAAGATTCATGAAAACAATTAGTCCAAGGGACTGGTAGACCATGCGATCCTCAGCCTATATGGCCATGAGACATAAAGAACTAGATGGTGCCTGGCTACCACTGTCAACCACTCGGAGGGAGATCTGTATAGGAGATCCTAGATAGAATGTAAGAACAATGTGAAACAAAACTCACAATTATTAAAAAAAAGACCAGGTTTGTTGGTTTGATGGAGCCTGGTGAAACCCCTGAGACTATGGCCCCTACCTGCCCTTCAGGTCTGGAATTGAAATCTCTCCTGTGGCTTCCAGTCAATTAAAAGACCAGCATATGGACTGAACATTTACGTCAGGTAGATACACTACTTGGAGAGATCAATCATGAGAGAATAGAAGGGCAATGTATGCACAGGGAGACAGCTCAGGGGACAGGAGTGTATGGGAGGGAAGGACACAAGGAAGAGGTAACTATGGGGAAGAAGTAGGAGGGGAGCTGTTACATTGTGGGGAATTGCAGTCAACGTCATGTGACATAATTTATATGAACTGCTCTGTAAATTTTCATCCAAATCACAACAAAAATTAAAATAATAATAATAATCAAGGAAACTACCAGTCATGTAAGTAAAGCTCACTCTTTTTTTTTTTTTTTTAACAGTTCTTATTTCATTATTCAAAGACACAGAAGTTGGGCAATTCAAATGTTGTGGTAAGTTATAAAACTACCTTTTATGAGTGATCACTACTATAAATAATTTTAAAAACCTGTTTAAAACTTTAATAGCATTAAATCAAAATTCATGTTTTTACTTAAATGTGTATATATGAATGAACAAATGGATTTTAAAATTTATTATACATTAATTTATTCTTCGTCAGTAATTACATGGGCATTAAATTCATTCCAACAATTATTACTGGGTATCTACTATATGTCAGGCACAATTGAAGGTACTATAAATACAGCAGTAAATACAAGAGAAAATTTGAAAAAAGAAATCCCTGCTCTCATGAATCTTATATTCTAAAGTCAAAAGGAAAATAAAGAAGTAAAACATATTGACAATATGTTTCTGATGGTGATTAGTACAAAGGAGAGATAGTTTTATCCAAAGGCATTTTAAGAATTATTTTGAGAGATTATCATAAAAAAAAAGTCATTAAATGTAACTAGAAAATTTCACTTTTATTCCTAAAGTCACCTTCTTAGTAGTTAGGCGTTTAATGTGAGAATTTATGCTGTAAGA